CTTTTTTGGTAAACCACTTTGAGCCTCGTCTAACGATAGACCCTTCATTTTTTTCAACCTACATCTACCTAACTTTGGGATGGGATGGTGTGCAACTTATGCAATTTTCAATTTCATAAAAAGCTTGAATGACTTCAAAAAATTAAAATAGCAAAATGAGCAAAAGCAAAAAGTAAATAAATAAAGTGTACAAAAGGGCAAGTGTTCCAATGTCTTTGACATGAACATGTCTTTGATACGAATACGTCTCAGATTGCGTCTCTTATCGAGTGCTCGGTACCGTGCCTGAGAAACATGAATGCCAAGTGAGTGATAGACCGCATGATCGAGATTGCCCACACTAATAAAAATATGATAAATGCTAAAGCAAAAGAAAAAGCTAAAAAAAAAAGAGTAGAAACTCAAGCATAAAAATAAAGATTCAAAATCAAGGTTGCACACCTTGGTGGCTTATCTATGGTCTTGAGCCTTTTATCCCCTTCTTCTTAAACCTTTAACCTAACCATGTTACAACCCTTAAAAAGACCTTTTTGAGGTATACACACACTTGTGCGAGGTTCGGTTAGAGCTACGTTCGGCCTGATTCCTAACGGATACGTAGACAACCTCACATCGAGGTGCGGCCGTAATATACATGCATTCATATTCACATTCACACACTCACACCATGATCATATCAAGGGATCTCCTATGCTCATCCCCATTCACTTAGATCTAGACTTGGGGGCTTGATCCCTACTTCATTAGCTTACCTAGCCTAAGAGTCACCACCATTTGACTCTTTTCAATATATTTCCACACACTTAGCCCTTGCGGCTTAACTTTAGTGTCACTATCACACACATCACACATACATGACCAGATATACTTCCCTTAGGACCTTTTTTCATGGAATCTTAACACAACACTGAAGCATGCCTTGTCATATCAACATCACTCATCAATCATAATTGCATTGCTTCACGAAGTATGAAGTGCTTAGCCTCCGCGCCTAAGTTACCCAAATACTTTCATCATTGAGTCAACCATTGAGATAGCCTAGGATGGGTTAATCCTTTCACCTTGAGATATAGTATCAAATGACATTTAACTAAGCTCATTCAACATGTCTTTTCAAACACTTCGATCCTTTTTCGCGTCTTTCTTTTTCGGGAGAAAGTCGGTACCCTCCACAAAATGACGGAAATTTTTTGCTTTTTTGCATTTTCGAGTCACACGATCACATTGAATCAACACAATGCACACACGGGTCATGAGTCACATGTGTCATTTCACTTCGAGTCGAGTCAACTTCGAGTCAATCACAGTGAGTCAAGTTTATATCTTGAAGTCATGTCAAGTCAATGGGTCAAGCGACATTAAACCTTAGGTCAACCCTAAGATAATTAAAGAAATTAGTGAATTTTTATAGTAAAAAATAAATACAGGTGCAGCAGAATAGGGAAGACCCTACTCCAGCGCCAGACGACAATATCTAGCGTCTGGAAATAGATTTCAGCGCTTGGCGCTAGATCACACCGTCTGGCGACAGAGTCAATTCTTGGCGCCAGAGATATTTCAGCAGCGACAGAGCTCGAAGCCTCTCAGAAAGGTGATTTCGACCTCATACAGCAATTTCGGGTTCCTTGGTACGCCAGTTAGCCCCTATAAGCAATTTGACATGATTAAGTAGTTGGTTTGATTACAGTCACAATAAGTGATCGACCTGATGAAAGAGACGCGTGGACATATTATTCAGAGACGCGTGGACATATTATTCAAGCTCTATTGTTCAGAGACGCATGGATAATCCTTTCAAGCTCTTTTGTTCAAAGACGCGTGGACATATCATCAAGCTCTTTTGCTCCAGAGACGCATGGGCATATCAATCAAAAGCTCTTTGTTCAGAGACGCGTGGACATATCATCAAAGCTCTTTTGTTCAGAGACGCGTGGACATTTTCATCAAAGCTCTTTTGTTCAGAGACGCGTGGACATTTCTTTCAAGCTCTTTTGCTCAGAGACGCGTGGGCATCCTATTATCAAGCTCTTTGTTCAGAGACGCGTGGACACATCATTCAGAAGTTCATATCCAAAAAATAAAGAAGCTCTATTGTTCAGAGACGCGTGGACGTACTAAAAAAAAGAAGCTCTTTGTTTAGAGGCGCGTGAACATATCCAAAAAAAGAAGCTCTTTGTTCAGAGACGAGTGAACATCGAAACAGCAAGATGGAGTTTCCTAGATTGTGGAGAGTTGTCACAAACAACTGAAGGTGATTTCAAGCAAATTTGTCTTCGATCATGTTCCCTTAGACGTGGAAGATGGTCATAAGGCGGAAGAAGATCGTTTCAAGCGGAGCAATCTTCAATATTGGAAGCAGTTACAAGCATAGCGGTTTTCAAGCGGGAAGGCATTCTCTTGGCAGGATGTCATCAAAACAACAATAAAGCAGCAACAAATCAGTTACTTTCAGAGACGTGTGCTCGACGGTGCAAGATACGCGTTTCTTAACTCTCTTATCTGTTTAACTAATGCTAGTTTGCAGGTATCGGCGTTACAAGAGTGATTTAGGATCGCAGAACGTTCTGAATCATTCTCCGTCCCTATAGGTACTTTGACTTTTATTTTCAAAACTTGCGTTTCTCCAAACTCAGTCAAAGTGGGGGCTTCTGTAGCACCCATTTGTGTCTCCCCAAAACCAAACCCAATGATGAGTACCTTTTGCGTCGAATCATATTTGAATGAAGTGAAAGTATGGAAAGTTTAGTGTTGCGGAAAGTTTTAATTTCTTTTCTCTTTTCTCTGTTTTTGAAAACCTATTTTAAGAAAACAGACAATCCAGTTTGGTTGGTCCATGATATGGATCCAATAGTAGTGTAGTTGTATAGGGCTTGAAAAGACCTTTCCAACAATATATTATAAGCCCAATTTCGAAGAATAATGAGGAAGTTATGGCCAAATTACTGAACTGGGCCCGGTTTGAGCCTTATGTGCGGTCCAATGATCTAGAGGAGGGCCTAATATGGATTTATCATTCAGGAATGGTTTTAGTCTTCTATATTCTTCTAGAAGGTTCTTTTCATTCCTAATTCAATTACCATTGATAAATTGACTTTTGTTGACTTTTCAGAGTTTTCATTAAAATCAAAGAACATCTTTGAGGAAAAATACGATTTTATCCTCCTGTACGACAATTTCTATGTGATTTTAAGAAAACGCGTCAAATTCCTAGTCAGCGCCAAACGCCAGCTGTAGCGCATGACGCTACGCTTGGCGTCTGGCACCAACTTGGTTTTTTTGCGTCAGAACTCTTTTTTTTTTTATATTTTATCTTTTTGGCTGATTTCTTTATAAATAACGTCGTAAAAACTCCGTTTTCATTCACCCAGAATCATCCACAATAATCTACAATCTACCAACTCTCATCAAGATTTTCTTGATTACTCTCTCTCTCTCTTTTCTAAACTAGCCTTTTCACAAATACAAAAATTCCGCATTCATTAGATTTAGAAACACCTAGCCATATTCGAAGTTGCCTTCGACCTAGACGTGAAAGGTTTTAATTTCTGAGGGTTTGGTCCCAAATCTTTATTTCAATTATTATTTAATTTAATTTGTTGATTTTATTATTTTCCTTGAAGTGACTAAAGTGTGTATTTTGTTATTAGAAAGAAATACGAGGAATCCAAGTAAGTACTTTAATGATTTTTATGATGTAGAAATCATTTTTAGGTTGTTATGATATTCCTAGTATCATGTCTAGGGTAACTTTAATATTACATATGATTGTTATAATGCCTTTTATGTTCGTCCTAATATTTATGATTGTTAGTATCATGCTAGGGCTAAATATTTGATCTTTATTGTTTAGTGATATGCTAGGGTTTGTTATTAATCTTGTTAGTATCATGCCTAGGATCTTGCTATTAATATTATGCTTTAACATGATTACTTTAATTATTATTATTATTTATTATGATTATTATTATTTTATGAATATCATGTTGCTTGATATTTATTGTTATTGCTTGATCACACCTTTTATACATGTTTAAAGGGAATTTGTATTTGTAATCACGCTTAATAAGATAATTAATAATCTTGTTTAGGGTTAATTTGATTATAATTCAAGTGATCGCCAATAATAGATTTATTTGTGCATTAATATTCAACCAACATAGATAAACAGGTTTAGGGTTAACCTATTGATTTTTTGTTAGTCATCAAGCGCACATGAATACGATCAGAATAAAGTAGAGGCCTATTATTAGGGCAGGTGCAATCTCTTTTAGGTTAGATTTGTACCTTCATCCCTGAACCCTATTTGGTTCAAGACCTTATGGAGTTGACGATCTCTTGGATCGTTAAGGGGTGTAACCTTCACCCTATGAATGGTTTACAAGTTCCTAAAAAACTTGTTGGCGACTCTTTTGCTCTATCTTATTTCCCTTTGGACGCCACCGTACTTTAGTGTATGATCACAGTGGGGTTCAAGTTAGGGGTAACGCTTGAAATATTCCCTACAGTGGTCCTATAAGAATCCAAAGCAGAAGTGGTAAGAGATATGTAATGGTTATTGTTGATGATTTTTCAAGGTTTACTTGGGTTTTCATTCTTGTTAGCAAAGATGAAACTTTTAATGAATTTGTAGCTTTTGTAAAGAAAGAACAGAGAAGGACAGGCAATCCACTGATTCACCTTAGATCAGATCATGGAACTGAATTTGAAAACTCAAAATTTGATGAGTTTTGCACTGAGCATGGAATGGATCACAACTTCTTTGCACCAAGGACTCCTTAACAGAATGGAGTTGTGGAACGCAAGAATAAAAGCCTTGAAGACATGGCCAGAACAATGCTGATCTCAAGTGGACTGCCTAGGAACTTCTGGGCAGAAGCAGTGAATACAACATGCTATATTCTTAACAGATTATCTGTTAGAGCCATCACCAACAAAACTCCTTATGAGCTAATCAAAGGGAGAAAGCATAATATTTCTTATTTTAGATCTTTTTGATGTAGATTCTTTGTTTATAACAATGGTAAAAGGAACTTGGGAAAGTTTGATGAACGTAGTGATGAGGCAGTATTCTTAGGATATGGCTCCAATAGTAAAGCCTATAGTGTTTATAATAAGAGAACAATGTGTGTTGAGGAATCTGTACATATCATATTTGATGAAACTGAACAGTTAAATAATGTACAGGATTGTGATGAGGATTTTGAAATTGGACTTGTGCGCAAGCCAGATCCAGATGAGGAATAAACATCATTGCAGAAGCATCAAGTTGAAAATGTAGAAGAAACGAATCCAAAAGCAAATGTAGAATCTGAAATGGAGAATGCACCAGGAACTCCACCTCAAGAACAAAATCAAGATCAGATTGAGGAATATCCTGTTAAAGTTCCAACTGAGACTCAAGACCAAGTTCCTATAGAAGAACCAGTCTACAATAATCAGGAAAGGTTGTATCCAGTCAAGGACTTTACACCAAAGCGATGGAAATATCAGAAATCACATCTTGTGGATGCAATCATGAGTGATAATACAAAAGGAACTCAGACTAGATCTTAGCTTAGAAACTTCTGTGCATTCTATGCATTCCTCTCTTCTATGGAACCTAAGAACTATGTTGAAGCTTTAACTGATGCAGACTGGATTAATGCTATGCAAGGTGAATTAAATGAGTTTGGAAAAAAATAAAGTTTAGCATCTGGAACCTAGACCCAAGGATAAGAAGACTATAGGTCTAAAGTGGGTGTTTAGGAACAAGCTAGATGAGCATGGTATTATTGTCAAGAATAAAGCAAGACTTGTTGTTCAAGGTTTCAATCAACGAGAAGGAATAGATTATGAAGAAACATTTGCACCAGTGGCCAGGTTAGAGGCTATTCGTTTACTTATTGCTTTTGCTGCTTATATGGGATTCACGTTGTTCCAGATGGATGTTAAATGTGCATTTTTAAATGGATTTTTAAATGAAGAAGTCTATGTGGAACAACCTCCTAGATTTGAAAATCTAGAGTTCCCAAACCATGTCTATAAGCTTGATAAAGCTCTTTATGGGCTGAAGCAAGCTCCTAGAGCATGGTATGAAAGATTGTCTAAGTTCCTATTGTAAAATGGTTTTTAACGTGGTAAAATAGATAAAACTTTGTTTTTAAAAACAAATGGAACTGACATATTAGTTGTACAAATTTATGTTGATGATATTCTATTTGATGCAACTAATGTATTTTTATGCAAGTATTTTGCTGACCTTATGAGTGGAGAATTTGAAATGAGCATGATGGGAGAATTAAACTTCTTCCTCGGATTGCAAATCAAGCAAACTGAAGAAGGAATCATGATCCATCAGCAAAAATATATTAAGGAACTGATCAAGAAATACAAGCTAGATAATGCTAAGACTAATAACATTCCAATGGGTATAGCAACCAGAATTTGAACTTGTGTTGATCAATCTATGTATAGAGGTATGAAAGGTTCTTTACTTTATCTAACAGCTAGTAGACCTGACATATCTTTTAGTGTAGGTTTGTGTGCTAGGTTCCAAGCAAACCCAAAGGAGTCTCACTTGAAAGCAGTAAAGAAAATCCTTAGATACCTGAAAGGAATTGATGATTTAAGTCTCTTCTATCCTAGAAGTGACTTCTTTGATTTAAATGGCTTTAATGATGCTGAATATGCAGGTGATTTGGTCAATAGAAAAAGCATTTCAGGTATGGTACAGTTTTTAGGACCTTGTTTAGTTTCTTGGGGTTCCAAGAAGAAAAACATAGTTGCAATGTCTACAGCTGAGGCTGAGTACGTGGCAGCAGTAGCATGTTGTTCACAAGTACTTTGGATAAAGCAACATGTTAGAGATTTTTGTATTATTTTTGAATGTGTGCCTATTTACTGTGATAATACCAGTGCCATATGTATTTCTAAGGATCCAGTTCAACACTCAAAGGTAAAACATATCCACATTAGCACTTTTTAAAAGATAATGTGGAGCAAGAGAATATTAAGTTAGAATTTTGTCATACTGAAAATCAAATTGCAGATATTTTAACCAAACCCTTGAGCAGAGAAAGATTTGAGAAATTGAGATTGGAACTAGGGATGATCAAGCTGAATTGATTGCTTCTGAAGTTCCAAGATATGGCAAAGTCAAAAATAATGTAAATAGAGCAAAAAGAGCATTTAGCACAATCTTGGTGTGCTAAACATAGCAGAAGTGTCACCGTTGTTAATTACTAGAGGCAAGTTCATTAAAACTCCTAATTGTATAAGTTATTAATTATGTACATTGCACATGTGTAGAAAGCGTGTTCCAATTGTGTGGTTTTATTTTCAGAAAGTTTTTTTTGGAATTTAAATGAATTTGGAAAGAAAAGGATTTTGGCAAATTCATCCTGTTAATTTTAAAAAAAAAATTAATTGAATTTGTTCAATTAATGACTAAATAGTGAAATCTCTTAAAATCCCTTACATCGCTTCATTAATTATAAAAGCAGAATTTCACCCACCTCTTTGACCACACTGTCAAATCAATTTAACCCCTTTTCAGTAAAAACCCTTCTAAGCTTAAAATCTTCTCTAGAAAACCATGGTCATCATTGCTGAAATCGTCTCATCAGAAAACTCTCAAAGATCCAAAAACATCATTCAAGAGGAAACATCTCCATTAGTCATGGTGAACTACAAACCTTCTTCAACTTCAACCAAAACCCCTGAAAATCCTATAACCTCATCATCTAAACCTAAAGAAGTGGAAAGTAAGAATGACCAAGAAGAGTCATCCATTTCAAGTGTTCTTCAAAGATTGAAAGAGTGGAAAGAGAAGAAAAAAAAATGAAGTAACTTGAGGAGCAAATAGAAGAGGTTGACGAGTTTGTCAAGGGAAACAATCAGAAGAAACTAAAGAGGATGACGAAGAAGGAGGAGAGATGAATGAGGGAGAGGAAGACAAAGAAGATCACAACAATTTAGAAAAAGAAGAATCAGAAATGGAAGATAAAGAAGAGGATGTGACTAATCAAGCTGAACTTGAATCACAAGCAGGGAGGTACGTTGTAGGTCATCGTATTGATCTAGATTGGTGTAGGAAAGCTAAGTTCTTGGAGTTTCTTGATTTGATTAAGTTCCAAGGCTCGGAATGCTTATTATCAAATTATTTGTATCCAATTTCTATAACTGAGTTATGTCAAAATTTTCAAGAAAAATTGGGGGTATTTTCTAGTGAAGTCGATGGTGTAAAAATTGAATTGAATGTTGAATTGAAACCCTAGGTAAATTCTAAAAACTCCAACGGAGGGGTATGGAACTTAAATTAAGGGTAAAGCTAGTGTTAAAGTAGGAAATTACTTGACTGGTGACATTGTTGAAGCTTTTGGTTGTCAAAGGGGGAAGAAGATAATGAGTCACAATGACTTGAGCCCGTTGAACAAGCTGTTGTTCAATTTAGTTAAGAAAACCGTCTTGCCTAGAACTGCAAAGAAGGGAGAAGCATTCTTGATGGATATGGCTGTAATTTTCTGTTTGTCTAAGAAAGTTAAAGTAAATTTTCCTACATTGATGTATCAGCACTTAGCACATTGTGTTCCAAGTAGGACAAAAGTGGGATATGGAGCTATTTTGTCAATTGTGTTTGAAAGTGCTGGAGTAATTCGGAAAGGTAGGTATGGTGCTCTGGATGAGAAGCCAGAGAATATACTAAATGAGGAAACACTGGCTGGACTGAGTTTGGAGGTAGTAAAAGGAAAAATTCAAAGAATGGAGAAGGGAGAGAAAAAGAAAGAAAAAGTGACAGGGAAAAGGAAAGAGAAAGAAGTGTCTGAGCAGCCTGTAAGGAAAAGCAGGAGGATATCTTCTAGTTCTGTTCCTTAAACAAGCATGGAACAACCTCTGAAGTTGGATGTTGAGGAAGGTATCCTCGATGGGGCAAGTTGCAGAACTGGTGGATAGGATGGGAAGGGTTGAAAAACAAATGAAGGATTCTGCTGGAAGACTTCAAATGTTAACCCTGGAAAGGCTTGTATAATAGCAGGGAAAGGAATTAAAAGAGCTCAAGAAGCTAGTGCAGAAACAGGACAAGGAATTTCAAGAGCAAAAGAAGTTTCTGAAAGAATAGGATAATGCTCTAAAGGAACAAAAGGAGGAGTTCCAACAAAAACTCAAGAGTCTTGAAGACAACCTTAGAGGCTTCTGCACAACAAACAAAGGAGGACTACAAGAAAATTTTGGAGTTTCTTGAGACCTAGCTCATTCTGTCCTCTATCTAACCCTTTCTAGTCTATATCCAGCCTAGCCTATTTTCTGTTTCTCCATTTTAGTCATAAACAATTTCAGTTTTTGTTTTAGTTTTTGAACAATTAATTTTGATTGTAATATTTTTAAATTTTTCAGCAGGATGTTAAATTTTTTTGTTTTTAATGAATAGTTGGAACTTGGCCTATACTTGTGTGTATTTGTATGTTTTGAACACTTATGCAGGAAAGTGGAACTTGCTTAAGGTAATTTAGCAGCGCTGCCTTCAGTTTCCCACACTCGATGAATTGCTTGTGGGGATGTGGCTAGATGCTTAATAAACTTGAAAAAGCAGGACTTTTTGATAATGCCAAAAGGGGGAATAGAAGAAGCAAACTTGGAGGTTGAAGTTGTTCTGGGTTCCAGTTGAGAAAGTATCAGAAATTTCTTCTGATTATGATGCTGATAGTTTAGTTTACTTTCTGTCTTGTTTATTTTTGCCTTTTGTTTTTGTTTTTATTTTAGTTGTGTGTTTACTTTCTGCCATAAATCAAAAACCACAAAATACGACCTTCTATTTTGTTTAACTTTTCTCAAGAGTTTGCTTAAGTTTGTCATCATCAAAAAGGGGGAAATTATTGAAGCTTAAAGGTTTTGATGATGAGGAACTTAAACTAAAGCAAACTCATCTAATAAAGGGTTACAAGTGTTTGATTAGTTCAGGTGAAGTTGATCGTGGTGATGGAAGAAGTAACTGGAACTAAGAAGACATGAGGAGATCTTTATACAAAAAGTTAAACAGAAAAGAAGAAGAGTTCTCTAACAAGAACTGAGTTCCCTAACAGGAACTTGAAGTTAGCAAGCTAAGGTCCCTGAAGGAACTTAGTCTGCGTGGAGCCCAAGTAACCTACCTGTACAGAAGCGCGGCGCAGAAACTTAATTTAGCTAAGGTTTTTATCTTCTAGATTATTGTTAATATGTTAAGTAGGTTAATGCACGAGATTTATTAGAAGCGTGGCAAGTTTTCTTGG